CCAATAGGTAAACAAATGGGCACAGTTGCAATCTAACAAAATTTTATTTATAAAACATGTAGCAGGCTTGGCAATACCTGCCATAGACTCTCACCCCCTCTCAAAGATAGCTGGTTACTACCATGCCTTTAATATGGTCATAGTTTGCTATTTGAGCAACAAATTAACCTCTCTGTACCTGAATTTGCCTTTGTGTTGAAAGAAAATATCATTACTTGTCATGTCACTTCCTCATAGAAATTTCAAAGGGACTGATGAGCTCATGTTTCAAAGTACTATGATTTCTTGATGAAGGTTACAAGAGAAGTACTAATTATTATCTACAGTACCTTTAAGCTGCTATCATCTGATTATTATTGCACCTGGAAGTGGAATAAGGATTCAGATTCATACCACTCTATGATATCAAACACATTATGCTATGGTCTCTTGCCCTAGAGTTTCCTTTCAAACGACTGATGAAAACCTGTGAGTTGGATGCTAATACTACCCTTTGATATCTTCCAAAGATTAAATAGAAGGAATAAAAGAAACAGATTTGACTTTTTATATACACAATTTAGTATTTTTTTCCATTTATCTCCGGTGATTGTTCAGTCCTAAAAGTGGAGCATTCTCAAGAAACAGAATGGGAGCTGTGCTTAAATTCATTAAATAAAATTGATGTGGTTTCCTTATTCTTATTTGTTCACCTGCAGGAGAAGCTCCATTAAGAGTAAATTTCTCAGACATGAGACTTTGGAACTAGATGTATGCTAAAACATAGTTTTAAAAACATAGTGGATAATCAACACTAATTTCATCATTTCTTAGGACTATTAGTATAACTTGTCTTTACATGTCACCCACCACCAATTATAAACCAGCCTGCCACCTTTAAGAATTAATTCACCTGGTAGATATTTCTCTAGTATCCATTATATACAAGGGACTCCTAGAAATGTGGAAAGTTTGCATAGATAACAATATAAAATAGTATGTGAAGAGTTCCCTCAGTGTGTTAACAAGCAGTATTTTGGAGTTTGAAGGAAAAAGAAGGCTTTTAGCTGATTTGATAAGGGAAGAGTGTTTTCATGGTAGAAGTGATATATGTGAACTGAGTCTGGAAGACAGATGGAAAGGAGGAAAGAAAAAGCTTTCTGGATAGCTCCAAATGCAGACCCCATGCACAGACATACCATTATGAGCAATTCAGATCACATAAAAGCTTGTGAGTAGTTCAAAATACAGCAGTAAATCAGGGGAAGACAAAAATAATCAGGCTAACAAGTCTGTGTTTAAGGAAAACCCACTGAAAGATTTTGAGAGGAGTAGAGTTAGGTGCTATTCATGCATTCAGAAAATATATTACAATGCCCTATAATGTGCAAACATTTTTCTAAGCTATATGGATATAGCAATAAATTTAAAAGATGCAGAAAAAAATCTCTGCCCTCATTCTGGTAGTGGGAGACAACAAATAAACAATAATAAGCAATAACAATAAAATATAAATAAGTAAGTACTAGTTATTTGAAGGTTAAATGCTACAGATAATCAATTATAAATAAAGCAGAAAAAAGTTTTAAATATACTGGCTTGGGAGCCACCTGAGGTAACATTTGAACAAGGGTTTGAAGTAGGTGAAGGAGCAAGCCAAGAGAGTATGAGAGTAGAATTCCAGAGGGAAGGCTAATGCAAAGGCAGTAAAGATCAGCAAAGCAGCCTTTGTGAGCAAGGGAATGGATAGGAGATGATGCCAGAGAGGTCATGAGGGTCACGTGATATAGAGCCTTATAGATAATTATAAACAGTGGATTTAGGAATAGTAATCTACCAACAGGGGGCAGAATGGATTGCAGGAAGGAGAGAATAAGAGGCAGAAGCAACAGTTAAAAAGCTTGTTTTAAGGTGGAAAAGTCTGAGCCCATTCATTTAATCAGTCCTTCACCCCCATTGATTATGCACATATTTAGGAGACACGATGCTAGATAATGACACTAGAACTGTGACTGAGATGGACAAATCTCTCCCACATGAAGCTGCCTCTCTAGTAGAATGATAGCATGGACAGAAACATTCGATGTATCGACGAGTGTCTAAAAATCTATAGAATTCTAAAGTTTATCATGAATCTCCAAATATCTAATATTATAAAACAGAAGGTCCCTAAAATCTCAATTATATACACAGTCCTTAGTCCACTTCCTAAGTCATTTCCTTAGCAATATCCTACAATGAAAATATCGGCCAGTATTCTTTCCACTCATAAGATTACTTTAGAAAAGAATGATTGGATATTCTATGAAAAAATAAATCATTCAAAATATCCAAGCAGTGAAAAATAAACTAGATCTCTGAGGCTTATCATTCTACCAATCACGATGCATCAGAGAATACAGGCTGCAAGGATAATTAATTCAAATACAAGCATTTATGAATAGATTAATTTAGTGAGCATAAAAGAAGCAAAGACCAGTCCAAAATTACCAGGTTTGTCTGTAACCCAGACAATAGCATTTTCCAAACAAATTGCTGATGCATGAAGATATTATCACTGGTGGCTGGATGACTGGCTTTAGTGCCCCTATGATGATAAACCGGCTGTCACAGAGGACAGATAGGAACTAGTTTCTGCTGTCAACCTGTCATGGTGTTATTAAATATGGAGGGGGAAAATGACCCAAACAGTATGTAATGAGCTCCCTTTTCATTCTCTCTCTACAAAAGCACATCTGTGGATTGTTAATGACTCTGAAATGGATGAACCAAATTGATGAGAAAGGAAAACATCTCTCAGGGATAGGAAAAGAGAAAATGAACACACACACATGTTTATAAAACATAATTTAAAATATAAAAGCTTGTGGAAGTACTGGGAAGTGCTATAAGGTGGCATACAAATGTAAGCTATTATATTACTCATTTTTTTATTGCTTTCTTTGCTTTTCTTTTTGTTTTTAATATGAATCATTAATCTTTCTAAATATAGAGAAACAGCAAGTAGCCCATGTGTGTGACACAAAGAGCACATATGTGTGACTTTCTGGAGATGCCACTGCCATTCCAGTCTGGTGATTTCTATTCTGCGGGATGATTTTTCACTAACTGTGTCCTGGGGGCTGCACACAGTGACCTGAATGAGTGTTGGGCTCTTGGTATCTCAGGTCACAGGGTTCTGTACCAAGTCCTGTGGACTGATTTATCCTTGTGCCACAGACTCACTTGCCTCAGGTTGTCCAGGAAAGGCACACCTAAGCTCAAAAATATGACTCAATCATGAAATTCCTCAAGTACAGGCTTTGGTATTATTAACCTTTGCATCTCTGTGCCTGATAGTGTACAAGTGTTCAATAACCCTGAACTAAGTGGAATGACGCATTTAGAGGGATGTCAAACAGGGGCAAGTACATTCAATGAAATTATCATAGTGCCAGTCCATACACTGCAGCCACCATTTTATTTGGTCATATTTAGTGATTTTGAGGTTATATGTCTTCAAAAGCTCAGTATTGAAGAAATTTTTGTGTTTTTATTATAACAAAGAAAGTATTAATCAATAGGAGACCAGGCCTTATTTCTTAGTTTAAGGGCAGACATAAGACTGAAAATAATCAAAAGTGTTATTGGCTGGCTGTATCACAAAGGTAGTATGGTATTAGAAGGGAAAAGTGACCAATATTCATAAACACAGAGCCATATGATCCTGGAATGGGAAATCACCTTTAACACTCAAGCTCTCTGAGCCAGAGGGAGAACTGTTCTAAATGCCATTGTACTCAAAGGACTTTATTCACATAAATATACATTCCAAGCAGAGGGGCTATTTGGCACATGTTCTGTATTTTCTTGCACAGGTAAAAACACTAACCAAGAAAGAAAAATGAGAAGTTATTAAAGGAAAAATTAAAGAGTATTTAGTTGGATGACTCACTGGAACCCACTACGAGGAATGTAGAATGCAGGATTATGATGTTTATAAAGAAAAATACCATTTTAATATATTTACTACAAATACTCCAATTTAAATGTACTCCAAAGTAATTTTAAAATATAACATACTATCTCTCCATTCACACATATCCATGGGAAATTCATTCTTTCACAACCTGTCTACACAGAGCCCAAATGGTATCCTACAGATTGTGTTATAATGTTTTAGTCACGTTTTCTCCACTGCTAAAACAAAAACAAAAACCAGCTTTACTTTTACATAAAATGTATTCAGGGACCTAGGCGGTATCATAAGAAGCAGATGAATGGAATAAACAATTAATTGGCATACCAATTTCCACATCAATGCACACCTTAATGATATAATGAAACCATCTACCTCCACCCACCAGGCCCTGATGATTATGTCATTAAATCTGTGCCTTTAAACCAGTTTCTCTCTTAATATTTTTATTCCACACTACTCCACCCACTTGGCTAAACGACTAAGCGACAAGGTCAATCAAATGCAATACTTCTCACTAGTCAAATAAAATGGAAATTTTGACCATTCCACATTCAACAAGCAAATACATTCTCACACTGACAACCACATTCCATTGGCTTTTCCTCAAAGCAAAGTGTGACAGATGCGTTGGCTGTAATTGCCAATCAGCCTTTACATGGCAGCTGGAAACACAATACATCACTTTGATCTCCTTTGCTCTAAACACATTCACAATCAAGAAACCTGAACAAGGAATAAGAATTGGCATCATTTCCAGAAGCTGTCACTCTGGGGCACGTAAATACTATAATATATATTTTGCTCGTATTTTTATTTCTGTTTCAGAGACACTCTGATGAAGACCTGAACAATAATCACTTACCACGAAACATCAAACATATATCTATTTGGAGACATATTTCAAACACACATCTTATTACCACATACAAAATCTGAATATAAGTGCATTTAATTAAAAGCCACCACTACCATTTCCTTTTCCAGCTATGCATTTGATAGACAAAACAAGGTAGGAGCATTCATCTGTTTTCACAACAGTGTTCAAAAGAGTTGTACTCACATTTTGCAGGCAGGTCATAGCCACATGTGATTTTTGCATGTCCGGTATCACAGCCATTCAGGTTACGACACTCAGCTAGCAAACAGGGGCCAGCTGCTCTGTGAATGCAGCCATCCACTAGGATAAGAGAGAGAGAGAAAAAAAAAAGTTAGGCTATATTTAGCTTTCTGGAAATAAACACAAAACTTAAGATAGGTGAGGTGAGGGAGTCTCTGGTTTATAGTGTTTTCCAGTACCAATTGTGTAAGCATTCCCATCATGTCCAGTTTTAAACTATCCATTTGATGTCACTGAGTACAGGGTTCAGGGCTGGGGAGATATGCTAATAGTTCTGTCTCCCAAGCTGTTAAGTGTTGCCTCCAACATGCCACAGGTTATGGAAGGAAAAAAAGGTGGAAAAGAAAGTGAGAAAGCCACTCTGGGATCTTTGAACTCACTTCAAAACAGTGAGGATAGAATTAAAGATACCAAAGCAAGAACCAGATGTCTGAGTTGCTCCTCTCCACAAAAGCACACAAATACAATTGTCCTTCTGAAGGGCAACAGACAGGGTGCTAGATGATGGGCAAGGGCAGTTTGGGTCTTGATAAACACCCATAAAACCACCCTCACTCACTTGACAGGAGCTGAAACAGCAGGGCTTCAGCTCCTGCTCTAGCTCAGCCAAGTGAGTCGGCTTTCCACCCTTCACCAGCCCCACCTCTCTGGCCTCTCAGCTTAGCACCCCATTCACATCTAGCCAACACAGTGAGAATCACCTTTTGAAAACACGAATGATGCTATAGGAAATCAAAACTTTGTATGACCGGATTGGGGGTGTGCACACAAGTGGAGGGCTGGAGGGCTGAAGGGCCATATGCACACAGGTCAGTAAATTGAGAACTTGGGTTCTTAGTTGTCACTGAATGGGCCCCTTGGACAGGAATGAAATGCAGGATTACTAAATGAATGGTAAAGAGACAGAGAGAGAGAGAGCAGTAGTCTGCATTATGAAAAAATAGCAGATGTTAGTGGTCTAAAGACCTTGCCTTCTCACCAGAGTTCACATCACCATGTAGTTCATCACTGCTTTTTGGTGGTGGTATTATTATTATTTTGAGAGGAAGGTGGAGTTTGGATAGGAGCTCATCCCTGGGAGATAGATGACTTGTCTACTATCCAAACAGCTTCTGCTCCCACTGATTGGCATGAAGACCACACTTTTGGCTGAACAAGTCACCTAGGGAAACAAGCTCATCTGGAGTTCATTACCTCACAGTCTGCATATCTGTGATGTTTGAGAAGAATCCCAGGCCTTAAAGAACCTCACAGCGAAATGGGCCTACTCCAGACTACTCTAGACTATAGTATTTTGTAAAATCTATGTTGAAATCTAAATTCTATCTCTACCAGACATATGATGCTGAAGACCCCAGTTTCCTTAGAAATCAGGGTCAATAAAGGCACTACCTCACATCCGGAATATGAATAATATAATGCATGAAAGGCACCAACATAGAGTTTTGGACAGTATTTAGTGTTATGTGCCCCATCGATGGTACTTATTATCTTAAATTCCTTCAGTGGAAATTTTGTGTAAATTTTAAAATAATTATTTTCCTTATTTAAGGATCAGAAATATAGTGAGGCAAACAGAATATGAAAGCCACCATTTACTCTACAACCCAGAGAACTCTTCAACATTCTGACATTCATTCTTTCACTGCTTATGTATGCACACACTCACACATACAATTTCTCTTACAAGACAGGCTGATAAATTTTGTTCATACTCTTTCAAATAGCAGTTGTACTTTTTAAATTTATTCCATGAAATAATCAACACAAGTGCAAAACATGTAAGTACAAGGATGTCAAAGTGGTATATAATAGTGAACACTTGGAACGACTCAGATAATCAGAGAATTGTTTAAGTAAAGCAAACTCCATGAATGCAGTGGAGTTTAAAAGTGGAGTTAAAATCTACAGCTGTTGAAAGGAATGGGCCAACTTTATAAGAAAATAGAGTTCTAAACATGGAAATATTTTTAAGTGTCTACAAAGTTACACACATGTTAGACACATATACATTCATATACATGTTCATATATTTGTACTGGGAAGATATACACCAAAACATAAAAAGTGATTATGGTATGGTAAAGAGAGGGTGAGCCTATTAGGGAAAAAAATAGGTCCCAATTTCTTTATGTTTAAGTTTTTTGCAAGAACTTCAAGAAAAGTATTTTAAGGTGAACATATTATCTTGGCAAAGAGATAATTAGTTACTTAGCTTGAAATACATAAATAAAATAGGATTTGCTAGTATACTTAATCATACACTGTCAAATATTCTCTGCATTATTTAGATTGCAGCCTAATGCAGTTTGTCACTATCTAATTCTCAAAATCTTCATGGTCATACCAGCATTCATGACTGCATTAGGGCAATGAAAGTCTAGCCGAAGGGCTATTTAAAATAATGACCACAGCTTAAATGTGTTGAGCATATCAGGTACAAAGCACCATACTGAGGACAACCTTATGGCACTGATACTGATTTTACTGCTTTCATTTTATAGAAGCTTAGAAGAGCTTACTACCTTGCTTATGTTCACAAAATATTTGCAATGTGATTCAAAATCCCAGGTTTATCTGATGCAGCAACCATACTCTTAACTCATCATAATTCACTGTCTTCAGGACTTCAATCAGGCAGTTTTACCTCAATGCCTGGCTGTATGGGGAATATGAAGCACTATAATACATTATTTTTAATTCCCATCAAATTACATTTATGAGTTACAATGTACATACAATGAAATGCACAGATTCAAGTGCAGTTCTGATGAGTTTTAACAAATGGGAAGACTATGTAACTGTGATGCCAGTAAAGATACGAATTGTTTACATCAATCCAAAAAGTTATTCTTTGCCCTTTCCAACCAATTTTCTCTCTCACCACCCATAGGGAGGCCCTGTTCTGCTTCAGATCACCATAGCTAAGTTTTGCCTATTATATATAACTTCAAACTTCATATAAGAGATGGGGAGCAAGGGGCTAGTTTCTTCCACTCCGTTTATATTTGAGAGCCATCTGCGCTGTTGTATGCATTAGTACTTCATTTTTTTTTATTCCTGAGTAATACTGCCCTGCTAAATATACCATAATTTCTTTATTCATCCATTTGTAAATGGATATTGAAGTATTTCGTTTTTAGCTATTTTGAATAAATCTGTATGCTTATACAAGTCTTTTTATGGCTATATATTTTCATTTCTATTGGACAAATACTTATAAGTAAAATTGCTATATCAGTACATATTTTACTTTATAAAGTACTAATATACAGTTTTCCCAAGTGATTAGACAAATTTTCGTATAATATACCTCTAGCAATGTATGAGGGCTCAAGGTTTGGCAATTCTTAGGTGCTGTCAGTCTTTTTTCTAATTTCAGCAATTTTAATGGATCTAAAGGGATATCTCACTTTGATTTCAATTTGTATTTCCCTGATGATTTAATGTAATGATGCTAAGTATTTTACCATGAATATACCATTCATGTATATTCTTTTTGGAAGTGTCAGTTTATATATTTTGCTAATTTTTTATCATCTTTCTGTTGAGTTCAATCTGCTATTAGTTTCATCCAGTGTTTTTAAATTTTAGATATTTCATTTTCTCAGTTCTTGAGATTATCATTTGGCTCCTTTTATCACATTTTTTATATCACTCCTGAAATTTTCCATCTCTTAACCATCTCTTCATGTAAATGCCTGAACAGATTTTCCATAATAATTTTAAAGTCCCTGTCTTCCAATTACAATATCTAGATCAGCTATGAATCTCTCCATATTGACTGATTTTTCACACAACTCTGGGTCATATTTTCTTGTTTCTTTGCACGTCTAATGATTACTGATGGCATATGAACATTGTGTATATATTGTAAAGATTTCAGATTCTATTATCTTCCTCAAAACAGTATTGAAGTTGGTCTGGAAGACAGTTAAATTACTGCCAGGTAATATATAGGCATAATTTTAGTCTTTGTTAAGATGGGTCTATTTAATTTTTTCTCTTAGTCCTAGGATTTGGTTTTCACCCCTAAGTCATGGACTGCCAGTAATTCAATGGAAAAGCCAAGTATTGGGGGGCCAATTCTAACTTGGGGGGATGAAAATTCTAATTTAATATCCCTATAGTGAGAAGCTGACAAACGTTGTACTCAGTTATTTCAGTCTTGTAGCTTTTGTGTTCTTCCTGGGCTCCCTGGAGTATTTATTTCCCAGCACAGGCAGAATTCAAGGCTCAGCCAAGGATTAAAGAGATACTCATTTGTAGATTTGAGGATGTCTGTTTTGTGACTCTCTCCCTCCTGGAATCTTCATCCCAATTCTGAATTTTTCTGACAGCCCTGAATTCAATCCCATGATTCCTAAAGTCAGTAAAATGATTACTTTCTCATTGAACCCTATCAGCTACTTGCCTTGTCAGGATCAAAGCCATTAACTTGTGGATCTCACCCAATGTGGTTTCCTTCTTCCAAAGGTTGAATCCTCTTTAGTTTCAGCCTGTTTTTACTTTATCTCTAGTGACAATAAACAGCTTCTGTTGTTGCTTTTATATTTTGACAAGAACTTATAATTACTATTGGCAAAAAGGCTAGTCTGATACAAGTAATTCTGTCATTATCAGAAGCTGGATTTTTTTTATTGGTTACAACTTTATCATATTATTTCAGAGCTTTATTTGCAGCTCTTGGGATAAAAAAGGCAATGGTAATATTGTATCGATTCTGAGTTTAAAAGTATTGTTAAATCTTTGAAAGACATAAAAAGAATATATATTCACAAACTGAACATGAGTTTAAAATTCTCTATTGTCAATTATTTTGCTACACCTACTTCCCTAAAATGCCAGTCTGATTTTATTACTTCCAGATTAAAGTAATGTTTGCTATTCCCTGTATTTTATATTATAAAACACTTAATTCTAAATTACGGTCTCTTCTACCCTTCACAAATGTGGTTCTAACTTACCCTACCAACCTCACATCTGCCTTCTCTCCCTTCACATCTGTGATCAGGCCAAATCTTAATCCTCACAATTCCCTCAACACACCATGACTTCCT